TTTTAAATCTGAAATTAAACATGTTTGCCATGAATGTTGATTGTTTAAATGGTTTGGATCTCTTGGGTTGGTCTTAAGTTCAGCAGAAAGTCATACTGGTTCCCCAAAGTGCAGACACCATGTAGGTTATATTGTGGTTATATTGTAGGTTTTAATCAGTGGAATCTGAGGTCGACTCTGTATGGGTGTGTGAGTGTTGCACCAATACACCACGACCTTTTAAACTTGTAAATGAGTAGAGGTATGTTTGCAGAAGACAATATTCAAGTCCATTTGGTAATAATAAGCAGGATTATGTTCAGTCAGTTGGTAAAACCCTTTCAGTTGGTCCTAATCACTTAATTGGCAGTAATGACCAGTTAACTGAACATGATCCCTTTTGTATTTGTGTCTTTGTTTTTGTGTACATTGTAGTGTTGTGCATGTTTTAAAATGTAATTCAGTCTGGGTAAATACTGAAGAGGATCATGAAATTCAAGTGATTCAAATGAAGGCACATCTTCTCTTTCTTTCTCACACAATGCCCTCCACCCTTTCTGTTTCCCACCCGTTTCTCTGTTTTGTTTTGAGTAGTTTGTGGTTGGCAGATCGTTGATGGGTACAATGTTTACTTGAAGCATGCCGTTCACATTTCAATAGAAGTGCGCACACACACACACACACACATATCACATTTGACCTTGTTGTTGAAGGTATTGGGTTTTATTGAGGCTGCAAACTGCAGGCGTGAGGTTTTCTTATTATTTAATATAAATATACTTATCTTAATTTCCTTATTGGCACACTCTCAATGCAAAGACTGTTCCAAGAAGTTGACTTATTCTCAAAAATATGCTAAGGTCAATCTTTATTGAAACCCAGTTGAGTATCCCATTCTTGTGAGGAGTGCTGTTGAAAATAATTGAAAATAGTTGGCAGGTTTTAAAGTTTCGATAACAACAAATTGACAGTTTAATCACTTTAACATTACACAAAAGACGCCTGAAAGCTACTTTGCATATGGACACTTTTATTTCAACAGAATCCTTAATGAAGCACGTTTGTGTTTTTATGCATTTTTTTAATGCAAAATTACATGTTTATATTTGTTGCATTCTGCAATTCGTTGCTTTACGTGCTTTATATTGCTTTATGTGCTTTTAAAATAAGTTGTGTGTGTGATTGCAATCAAGTCGTTAGCAAAAACCCTGTGCTTATGAGCTGGTATTTTGTGCAAAGCTTCAATTTTGTTTTGGTACAAGATGCGTTATTGAGTGTCACAGGAAGTATGTTCACTTGGTGCAGCTGGACAATTTCCGATCTAAATGATTATGCATTGACAATGTTGTTAAAATCTGTAGACTTTAGCAGAGAGTGAGAACCAATTGACCCAATTTCACTTGTTTTTATTTTATTTTAACTATCCCTTTAAAATAAAAATAATTTTCTAGTTGTATGTACACTGTTGTTGCTGATTTTATTGCAATTTTTCATGTTTAGTAAGCTGTTGTCTTGAGATGTCAGGATGGGTTTGTTCCTCTGTCAAATCACCAGTTGGATGACTGTTACCTTTGTCGTGTTTCACAGACTGAGCGTGGCATTTAAAGGCATTTTATGAGTGTTTTATTTCATGTGAGTGTTTATGATCAATGTATAATACCTATCAATTCAATTCAGATCAATTCACTTTGTCACATCCTGGAAACGTGTGCAAGGAGTGAAAATGCATATATAAATCATTGCAATACAAAAGTCAATAATCTCAACCTACACACTAATACAATAATGGCAAATTTGAATGAATGGCATTTTAAGTTCATTTATTTAGCAGATGAATTCAACTCTAAAAATGCATGCAAACATTTGTTTTTTTCGAGATTTTACAAACACCTCATTTTTGTCCGTTTTTACCACATAGGCAAAATACACAAATAAGCAAAATTACCCACAGTGTGCCTGCATTTGACTGGTGGGGGGTGTTAGTTTCACACCTTGCTGTAGAAAGATGCCATGTTTACAGATCAGCACTTTTTCTCATGCCGTGTTTTGTTTTGTTTGTTCATTTTATGCTTTTTCTTTTTATTCTAATTTTACTTTGTATCTGGCATTAGACAGTATTTCCTCACAGATACGGGCTGCTGAATGCATGCATGCACACACTGTTTCTCAGACTGGATGACATTCAGATAACTGTGCTCAAAATAATGATATTGATCAGTATAGCTTTTTGGGTAGTATGTGACAGGATGTGACTTGTTTGGTAGTGACAGCACTGCCAAACCAAGCTATGGCCTATTTCCTGTGAGTTATTTGCAGAAACAAGTCCTGTTTTTTAATTGACACTGTGCCTGGAGTGTTGTTTGCTTCATGTCAGAAATCACAGTTTACAGTAGTGAAAGAATCTGCACAGTTGTCCATCTTAACAAGTGACAGAGAAACAATAAAAACAATATGCGTATAGACCTATTTTTAAATTTAACAAAATTTGTGACTAAATGTATATATAATTCTACTAGTTATTTGACTGCTTTGTCCTGTGTGAAGACTTTTGGGGGTATTATGAATTAGGTAATATAAGTTAAGTAAATTGATATACATGGGGTCCAAAAGTCTGATACATTGTAAAAAAAAAAAGAAAAAAAAATTCTGAAGTTGTAAATGAAATAAAGATTATTGGAGTACGTTTTACAAGAAAATACTATGTTTAGTACTATTTTAAAATTTCATGTTTAATTGTCTTACTTGCCGATTTTTTGTAAATATTTGTGAAATTTACTAGGAATTTCTAAGTGAAAATAGTTTCTACAACAATTTTTTTAAGTACCTTCGCATTTTTATTTAATTAAATTTAACAAATGCTTTTCATTACAAATTATATTATCAACATAACAATAAATGAGTAAAAACTGGATTGCTAAATTATTTGAGTGTCCCTGGTATTTGGTTTATATCTCATAACTTATTTCTGTTTGTCTATGTTTATTTTCAGGTTTAAATACGAAAAAAAAAAAAATTCATTGTAGACTTGTAAACCCCACCATACATTTTTTTTTTTATTATTATTGGTTATGACAGTGTTTAGACTCTTAAAACTATACGATCAGCAGTCACTCTAATTTATTTAAAGTAATCTTTATTCTAAAGTATTCTTTAAATAGATTCATCATAAGAGTACTTTCAGTTATTTGGTTTTATATGAACAAAAAGTATAAATTAAATCTGTTCTGTTGATTTGTTGACAGTAAATGACATTTTAGACAAAGTGTGTCAGGTCTAGTTGCATGTCTACCTCTCCTATGTTTTCCACAAACAGCATGCAACCTCACGCAAATCAGCCGCATGTTTTATGTTCAAATATAGACGTCTGGGTTTGGAGATCCCCTTATGGCACGTATTTGAGCGGATGCACAAAAACAGCATTAACCCAGAAAATACAATGTTGTGCTGCTGAGTTGGCGATGAAAATGCTGTTTTAGTAAAATTGGAAAATTCTTGCGTCTTTTTGAATTTATAGTTTCTTTGAAGTACATCGTGTATGAACAGACCTGACCGTTTTACTGCTTAAAGCATAAAAGCTGTAATTGGTCAGCAGAAACATTCATATTTTTGCGAATGAAAAAAAAATTAAATGACTTAATCCTGCTGTTTGTGCTGGTGACATCATGGAGTTTCAGCTGTTGTGTTTTATTACCTAATATCTGAATTTGAGACACGGTTTTAACAGAAGTGATTATGGCAAAGCTTTCTTTTGCAATCATATTGCATTTCTTCATTAGAAATCTGTCTATATGAAGACCTAAAAATGAACACAGCCAACAAATGAATAAGAATATATTTTCCACATTCACTGTCTTTAGCAACATTTTGCTCATAAATGTACTCCAGGTGCATCTCATCATGAGGATTAGACATCTTTAGCTGTTCAAATGTATAAAAACTGCAGTGTGCATTATTTGAAATTGAGTTTGTGAATAATTTTGTGTTGCATAATTCACTTTGTGAAGTCTATTTACTCATCTTGATGATAATGTTAGATTACCCTGATTCTTTGTAATTATTCATGTCACTTTAATGATGATTGCACTAAGACAGAAAGCTTTATTTATGTCAGAATACTGTGTATACACCAGATAATTCATCAGATAATTGTGAACAGGGTTGAACATAAGAGAGCAACTGTAAAAAAACAATTGCTGTGCATTATGTAAATTTATCTTATGTATTGCAGTCTGCAACAGGCAAAATTGGTGCTAGGCATGAAAATTCTGCAAGCACTAGTAACCTACTGTATAGTTTACAGATAGAAACTAGGAAAGGTGCCAGTCTAAAAGGAAAGTATTATCAAAGAAAGCAGCAAAACTCTACAGTTCAAGTCACACCTGCAAACCACAAGAAGCCACTTAGAATGAAATTGTGGTAAAATGACATTTTTGTGAAATAAATGATTTATGACTCAAAAAGTGGCCATAAAAAGATTTTTATTTCTTTTTCAATACAACATTCTTAAAAATAAAGGTTCTTTATTGGAATTATTGGTTGCATTAAGAACCTTTAACACCCATGGAAGCTTTCCATTCCACAAAATGTTCTTTATAGTCGAAAGACTAAAGATTGACGACTGACTTATGAAAAAAAGTTGATTTATTGTAATTTCTCTTAACACAGTAGGAGTGTAAACAAAAAGTATGTCTCCGAAACCACTTAAAACACAGGTTAGCCAACATGTGGGCAATTCTAGATCGGAAATAGAGCGCATTTACCTCGTCAACAGTTTTACAACGTTAGCCAATCTCACAAAAATCATACAGAATGCATGTGCTCGTATTTTATGCAAAATTATGCATAATGTATTTTATGCAAAATTGTGCATGCAGAAAAACCAAATAGCTTTTTTTCAGGCTTTTAGCCCTCCTGTTGTGTTGGGGATTTGATTTTTTTCTTGAATTGCTTGAAAATGGTTAAACTTAAATTTTGTGACTTTTTCTCATGCAAAGTTTTACCACATGTGTTTTGGAAAGGCTGTACAAAAATGGTTACAACCTCCATTGACCCCCATTGGTGTTCATGCAGTTGGCCAAAAATCAACACTTTGAAAAACACAAAAGTCAGGTAAAAAACAAACAAAAAATTTTTTTGTAGCTTGTCAAAGACCAAAATATGGCATATATAAAAAATGTATAAAGATTAAGACTCTTAAGAAAAGTCTGTGAAATTATGTTTTTGATTGTTAGTTTTTTTAATCTCAATTACTAGACCATTGTCAGTGAAATGTATGCTAATGAAAACATATCTGATACTAAAGCACACTTACTGGATGTGAAAGTCATGTTGAAAAGCCATTTGGAAGTTAGCAGTAGGAATCATGTAATCCTGTAATTAAGTTGTATAATTCCCACCCTTCGCAGAGACTTATCAGGACAGGAAGTCAATAGCTCTGGCTCCAATATGCAAACAGCAAGCTGCACTCCTATTTCCACTAACTGGAGCTCCAAAGAAATGTCTCATCCCAAACTATCCGTGAACTCCCAGTGGATGGGAATGGGTGGGGTGTTTTCTTTAGCCACACACACACACACACACACACACACAAAATGTGTTCCTCCCCTCTTTTGTTTCTCCCCTTAAATGCTCCAGCCACAGCTAACCCACGTCCATTTATTCACCTAAAATGTGTTCCTCCCCTCTTTTGTTTCTCCCCTGAAATGCTCCAGCCACAGCTAACCCACGTCCATTTATTCACCTAACAGCTCCCTCACACACTCCATGTAGTTGACATTTATCATTTGTCTTGAACAATGATTTATCTCTCTGGATTACTTTTGCTCTTGCTGGATCCGTCTATGATCTGTGGTAGGAGATCTTCAGTTTAAGATCTAACATAAAGCATGAGTTTATCTGTATGAACATCTGACAGCGATGCCATTACTCTTGTTTATGGAAATGATCTAGGAGACATGAAACATCTTACAAGCTTTTCTATGAATCATTGAGCTTTGCTTGTGTTGCACTAAACATTCAACCTGTTTGCAATAGAATAGATTTATTATAAAAAAGTTGTAGTGTTAATGAATATCTGGTAGCAACATGGATGATCATTAAAAACGTTTATCTCTATTCTCAGGTCAAACGACGCAAGATAACAGAACAGCATTTGAAGGTAAGGGACTAGCTACTAAATCATCTCTCAGTGAGGAAAAAATCTCTTTAAATACTCCTAGAGATCAACAAAGAGAGAAAATTGAGACCTTTGCCTAAATCTCCTGCTTCTCACTTATTTTTTTGAGAAAACTATAGTAATCTGTATGGAAGCCTGTTTCCACCACAGAATAAAAGAAATAAGATAAATGCAACTTTTTATCTTACAATTCCGACTTTGTTTCTTGTAATTTTGAGTTTATATATTACAATTCAGACTTTTCTTCACTGAATTGCGAATTTATATCTCACAAGTAAATGCAAGTTTATATCTCGCAATTCTGAGTTTATATCATAAATTGTCATAATTGTGAGGGAAAAAAGTCATAATTATGAGATATTAATGGGATAGTTCACACAAAAATGCATGTTGGTAATCAAAGAATTGCTGGTAGCCATTGACTTCCCTAGTATTTTTTCCATACTATATGGAAGTCAACTGCTTGGTTACCTACATTTTTCAAAATATCTTCTTTTGTGTTCAACAGAAGAAAGAAATTCATACATGTTTGAAACAACATACAGTATGGTTTCGTTTTTGGGTGAACTATCCCTTTAACTCAGAATTGTGAGATAAAAAGTTACCCTTTTTAATTAAGTCACCTAATTAAATTTTTAATAAAGTTAATTTTTTTTTTACCTTTTTATTTTTTATTCCGTGACAGAAACAGGCTTCCACAAATCTCACGTGTCTCAAGGTTTCAAATTGTGCTCAGATTTGCCAAGATACCAAAGTCTGCAATCATACGTGAAATATGAACTCAAACATTTTCATCTATGATGTTGATTTTATCATTTATTGTCTCATTTGTATTTTTTTATTTAAGAAAGTTTGGGATGCGTCAAAGATATTATATTTCAATGAAGTCTCATGAGTTATGAAAGAGAAAGCTCTGAGCAATAACATTTTCTGGGTATTTAAATGATAATTTGGACGAAAGACATTAGACATCCAGAAAATATACATTTTACTCTGTGTTGACACTCAAAATATTTTAATGTTAATAAACTTAAGTTTCTAAATCATCTCTCAGTGAGGAAAAAATCTCTTTAAATACTCCGTTATTTCTCCTAGAGATCAACAAAGAGAGAAAATTGAGACCTTTGCCTAAATCTCCTGCTTCTCACTTATTCTTTTGAGAAAACTATAGTAATCTGTATGGAAGCCTGTTTCCACCACAGAATAAAAGAAATAAGATAAATGCAACTTTTTATCTTACAATTCCGACTTTGTTTCTTGTAATTTTGAGTTTATATATTACAATTCAGACTTTTCTTCACTGAATTGCGAATTTATATCTCACAAGTAAATGCAAGTTTATATCTCGCAATTCTGAGTTTATATCATAAATTGTCATAATTGTGAGGGAAAAAAGTCATAATTATGAGATATTAATGGGATAGTTCACACAAAAATGCATGTTGGTAATCAAAGAATTGCTGGTAGCCATTGACTTCGCTAGTATTTTTTCCATACTATATGGAAGTCAACTGCTTGGTTACCTACATTTTTCAAAATATCTTCTTTTGTGTTCAACAGAAGAAAGAAATTCATACATGTTTGAAACAACATACAGTATGGTTTCGTTTTTGGGTGAACTATCCCTTTAACTCAGAATTGTGAGATAAAAAGTTACCCTTTTTAATTAAGTCACCTAATTAAATTTTTAATAAAGTTAATTTTTTTTTTACCTTTTTATTTTTTATTCCGTGACAGAAACAGGCTTCCACAAATCTCACGTGTCTCAAGGTTTCAAATTGTGCTCAGATTTGCCAAGATACCAAAGTCTGCAATCATACGTGAAATATGAACTCAAACATTTTCATCTATGATGTTGATTTTATCATTTATTGTCTCATTTGTATTTTTTTATTTAAGAAAGTTTGGGATGCGTCAAAGATATTATATTTCAATGAAGTCTCATGAGTTATGAAAGAGAAAGCTCTGAGCAATAACATTTTCTGGGTATTTAAATGATAATTTGGACGAAAGACATTAGACATCCAGAAAATATACATTTTACTCTGTGTTGACACTCAAAATATTTTAATGTTAATAAACTTAAGTTTATATCAACGATGGAGGTTTATACAGTTGAGGGACACTACTGTATTTTAATGTAATATTTCTTTATTTTTCTTCTGTATACTTAATACAGAAATATTTTCAGTTTTCATATTTTAAAAAATGCCAATGACAAATTTTCTTATAGTGTCCATTCACCCTATATTGTATTGCATTGCAATAGAAATGATAAAATGTCATTTATTCATTCCGTAATGGTCTTTTCTCCAGATGAGAGTATCAGAGTCAAAAATGAAAGTGTTCAGCAAGAACTGAACAAATTTTTAAACACAGGTACGTAATGTCTGCATTATTTAAACTTGCATCATCTCATCGCATACACTGTTGACATTCATAATGGCATTTTCACTTTATCAGAGAGACCCAACGTCACATATGAGGACAATGGTAAGACAGTTTTGTGATACTTTGTGATGTGTGAGCTATTCGACTTCACTAGATCACTTGTTGTTTTCAGTCATTAAAGAAATCTCTTGTGACTCAGAGGATTTTCAGACTCAAGATTTTCAAATACGCTTCGGTCACTGTCATGAGGAGATGTTGGAGGATTATGGTAGAAATTGCTCGCAGATTTTCAGTGAAATCATGAGTGAACTTGGAGAGGAGAACTGGTGTAATATGGAGATGGTGATAAGGTAAGCCAGAGTTTCTTCACATCTGACTACTTAAAAGGAGAAACTTCTAGAGTAGTATCAGGTTTTACTCTTTAATCACATTTTGGGCTAAAACAATGCTCAGTGCATACTGTATGTCTGACTTTTAGTGGTTGAATTAAGTATATATATATATATATATATATATATATATATAAATGTTTACATAAAAAATCATGCATTTTTGCATGTGCATCACAGTCTAAAACTAACAGTTTCTGTATAGTACTTATCTTTTGATATGCACAATTTGTACTGAGAAATGACAAATGTTGCTTAACTACATGGTATATGCACAAAGAAAGGAAATGGTCGGCGAAACAATTGAAGGATGTGTGGGGTGTGTGGGTGAGGTATTTCTTGAAGCCTGATCGCTGGCCACTTTAAGGGACTCGGAGACCTCCTGTTCCATTAAACAATGAGAGACATTTCCGTTTTCTACGTAAGCATAGATAAGTTGTTGTTGTGAACCAGTCTTCTGCCAAATACAACTCCCTTTAGGACAGATTCATTAAAAAACAGTAGCACTACCGACATTTCAAAAGTTTGAACAGTAAATACAGTAAATACAACAATATTGTGAAATATGAATGCAATTTAAAACAACTGTTTTCTATGTGAATATATTTTAAGATGTAATTTATTCCTGTGATCAAAGCTGAATTTCCACCATCATTACTCCAGTCTTCAGTGTCACATGATCCATATTAGAAATCATTCTAATATGCTGATTTGCTGCTCATTAAAACATTCCTTTTTGTGGAAACTGTGATACATTTTACATCAGAATTCTTTAATGAATAGAAAGCATTTTTTTTTTCATTGTCTCTCTCTCTCCCCCCCCCCCCATGTCCAGATACTACAGCAGTTTAACTATGTGTATGGAGGTAATATCCCATATGTCAGGTTGCTTTTACCCTAATCGTGTGGTGGAGCAGCTGTTTGTGAGGATACACCAGCAGTACTTCAGCCTTTGCAGCAATGAAGAGGATTTACTCGACGCCCCGGCTGGAGTCGTGCTTGTAGCCACACTGCTGCCTATCCTCCTCATACCCTTCATAGTGTACACTGTGGTCTGGAAGAGTAGTTTAAGGGACTGAACGCTTTTACATGATCCCAGAAAGTGATAAAAACTCTTTACTCACCCTCATGTCATTCACTTTTAGTGGTTGAATTAAGTATATATATATATATATATATATATATATATATAAATGTTTACATAAAAAATCATGCATTTTTGCATGTGCATCACAGTCTAAAACTAACAGTTTCTGTATAGTACTTATCTTTTGATATGCACAATTTGTACTGAGAAATGACAAATGTTGCTTAACTACATGGTATATGCACAAAGAAAGGAAATGGTCGGCGAAACAATTGAAGGATGTGTGGGGTGTGTGGGTGAGGTATTTCTTGAAGCCTGATCGCTGGCCACTTTAAGGGACTCGGAGACCTCCTGTTCCATTAAACAATGAGAGACATTTCCGTTTTCTACGTAAGCATAGATAAGTTGTTGTTGTGAACCAGTCTTCTGCCAAATACAACTCCCTTTAGGACAGATTCATTAAAAAACAGTAGCACTACCGACATTTCAAAAGTTTGAACAGTAAATACAGTAAATACAACAATATTGTGAAATATGAATGCAATTTAAAACAACTGTTTTCTATGTGAATATATTTTAAGATGTAATTTATTCCTGTGATCAAAGCTGAATTTCCACCATCATTACTCCAGTCTTCAGTGTCACATGATCCATATTAGAAATCATTCTAATATGCTGATTTGCTGCTCATTAAAACATTCCTTTTTGTGGAAACTGTGATACATTTTACATCAGAATTCTTTAATGAATAGAAAGCATTTTTTTTTTCATTGTCTCTCTCTCTCCCCCCCCCCCCATGTCCAGATACTACAGCAGTTTAACTATGTGTATGGAGGTAATATCCCATATGTCAGGTTGCTTTTACCCTAATCGTGTGGTGGAGCAGCTGTTTGTGAGGATACACCAGCAGTACTTCAGCCTTTGCAGCAATGAAGAGGATTTACTCGACGCCCCGGCTGGAGTCGTGCTTGTAGCCACACTGCTGCCTATCCTCCTCATACCCTTCATAGTGTACACTGTGGTCTGGAAGAGTAGTTTAAGGGACTGAACGCTTTTACATGATCCCAGAAAGTGATAAAAACTCTTTACTCACCCTCATGTCATTCCAAACCTGTGTGACTTTCATTCTTCTAAAGAAGATATTTTGAAGTTGTTGTTTGGATGTCTTCAAGCAGAGCAACGAAAAGGATTGGAATGAATTGAGGGTAAGTAAATGAAGACTCAGTTTTTAAAGTAAGACCCAGCTTTAAAGTAAACTTTGAATGTATACAGTTCATGTGGTTCACAATGATGTAATTCTTGTAAATAAAATACACGCAATGGGTGTGTGATTTTTCTGCACGCTTATAACTAAGAGTAAAAGAGTCTGATATAATGCACGATTTGTGATCACGATATGAATATACTGTGACTCTGAATTTTTAATTCTGAAATACTGAATGCCCACATATCCTGCTAGACTTTATTCAGTTGTTGTATGTCAGTTTACAGCTATTTGTTTAAGTTTGAAAATGCTAAGCAACTTGTTCACACAAATGTAAATCTAAAAATACATTAAACAAAATATTAACGCTTGTTTTTAATGCATTATAAGGATATTCATAATGCATTATAATGCATGCATAATGCCTTATAAAAACCATTATAATCTGTTGCATCATCTCATGAATAATCATAACTACGGTTATTATACATAAAAATTCCTAACTCTTTGTTGTTATACCTTTTAGGAGTGCAATGTTTTATTTATCATAATATCTTATGGTTGTTTAAAAGGAGATCAAGCCTTTTTGCTTTACGAAAAGCAGACAACTTTTAAACGACCACATTATAAAGCCTTTTGATTGTTTTCTAGAAGACTTCATTTGTCACTTTATTTTAAGCAGTAACAAAACACTCATAAAAGTAAGATATTGTGCAGATTTTAAACAATGTTAAAATATTACAAAGTTAGGAATTATAATCCATTATAACTTAAGTGAATGTTGTTCATTGTGTTATACATCATGCTCTTAAAGGTAACTGCAAATAGACAATATAACTGCTGTTATGATTATTTTTCATGCAACATACTAATTTAGCGAGCTATTATGCATGAATTATAATAAGACATGGCATTAAAAACATGGAATTTTTTATTTCATTAATTTTTTTCATGCATTGGTCAGTTTTACAGTTGTGGGCTCTTCTTAAAGTATTGTTTCAGACTAGTGGAAAGAAAATATCCAAAATACACAAGGCTTTATGTGTTCAGATTTCTGTTCTGGAAAGGTATCTTTAATTAGTGCATATTTAGATAATGCCTCCTTTGCCTATTTAAACACATCATTTCAGAAAACTTGTAACACAAAAAAAAATGTGCAATTCCTTATGTAATCAACTGGGGAAGTATATCTATTAGTTAATTTTTTACCCTATTCATCTGGGGTGCCTTGCCTTAAGAACACCTCTATAATACATTATGAATACAGGTTTCATAAAAAAGTTTTACCAAAAATTGTTTAGTGTTCATCAATGCATCACTCACGTTTTGATTTCTGTCTCCTGCACAGTCTAAAACACAAATAGCGTATTGTAAGAACCACAGCTCCGCCTACTGCCAACACCACTGCTAGCAAAAATGCCATCACGTCTAAAGAGTGATAGGAGTACCACGGCATCTTATAAGAGTCTGTACGTAAATGTGCTGCACCCTTATGCCGCATGACATACTCTATCCAAAAGAGGGCGCTGTCTTGAGGTTGTATAGGCTGGTCTTTATGTAGCCTAGACAGCCGTCGCATGTTGTCCCTGTAGGAGGGCTGATGTAAAACCTCCTGCACAGTCGCCAAAAAGCTCTGGCTGTCCAGTTTGGTGACGTCAAGAACCTTAGCAGCCCCTCGTACCTTGAGACGCAACATATTCTCAAATTGGTCAAAAAGCAAGGGAATCCCAACCACTGGAACGCCATGGTAGATGGACTCATAAATGCCATTTGTTCCACCGTGAGCGACAAATGCACGTGTTTTAGGGTGACCAAGCAGATCGTTCTGAGGGAGCCACTTAACCAGAAGAGTGTTGTTGCCCAGATTATGAGGACGCTCTCCTAAGTGCCTCCAGATGACTCGCTGAGGCAGCTGAGCAAAACCTGCAGCGATTTCAGACGTGATTTCACTAGGAAGACCTTTCACGAGCGTCCCAAGCGACATCACAACCACCCCGTGTTCTCCTGAACCTTGCACAAACTCCTCCAGGTCTGGAGGTAAGGGCTTGGAGGGTTTGCATTGGAAGCCTCCAATGTAGACGACGTTTGGCATTGTTGGACGCGGGAACTCGAAGACGAAATCTGATCGCATGAGCCAAATATCTGCACCTTGCAGCAAGTGGTAGAAATCGGTTTCGGGTCCAAAGTAGCGTGCAACCAGTTTGTCATATTCTGGTCTCACAATAAAATGGTCTATGCACATGTTTAGCACATAATGGAAGATGTTCTTGAGCCTTTCTCCAAATGACATGCGGTTTGACAAGTGGCTTCCTGCTGCTGGGACGTATGAAACCGGAGAAGGCGCGACAACAAAGTGCCCTTCTCCACTAGTGATCCATCTCACATTGTACACCATTGGTAATTTGAGTTTATGAGCCACCAGCACACCTGCAGGCAGACCTGGATCAATCAGAACCAAGTCGTAATGTCCCTCATAGAGCTCTTTCATCAACACCGGGGTTTCGAAAATCTCCACAACCAGCTGACTTGCTTGCCAATGCATGCCGTAGAGATTCTTCAGCATCTGCCAATAGAACTGAACGAACGCAAGCGGCGATCCTCCATGTTTTTGTATCTCGAGCATTTCACTCAGGAACGAGATGAAGAAATCTTGTTTCTCTATGTTTATTGGCTCCGGTAGGGTCACCGTTATGGCTTTGTAGTGCGGTGAATGCTCCTTGACGTACCAGCTGCTGGCGGTTCGTACCACGGTGACCTCGTGACCGCTGGAGTGAAGGTCCTCAATCAGTATATTCATGTTGACCCAGTGGCTTCCGTCCACAGGAAAAACAAGGACCTTGCCGGCCAGAGCAGAGGGAAGGTCAGTGGAGAGGAGTACGGATAGCAGCAGAAGACAGCGTGAAGATTTTAGGACATTCATTGCTCCCTAGTGCACAGAAAAACACTAATGTTTACTAGACGGACTTAATGCATGACATGATAAAACTGTAGTTCCTTGAACAAAAAAAGTTTGCTCTGTGTTTATTTGATCTAACACATTCCTCTAATGCCAGAAAATACTTCATGCTTGAGTGCATGCATGGACACACACACATTGTGGTAGAAATCCAGACCCCACTGAGGAGACTGTAAACTTCGACCTGCATATTCCTAAATAAGGTGAATGTTTGGTGAATTTTTAATTTGTACGTTTACGACGCATCACACGACCTGTTTGTAAATGTGTTGCTTCTATATGTATTACCAATTAATGCTGGCAAGTCTAAAACGACAGATGTTGAGCTATTTTATTTTGAACAATGTCTTGTATACAGTTACTCCGCCACCATTCAGTAATAACAGCATAATGCCACACGATGGCGACAAGTAAATATTGTGGCTGAGCTTGAAGACAAATCAACAATGAGCACGTTTACATGCACACCAGTAAGCTGATAACTCACAAATATCAGCTTATTAAAATAACCAGTTTTCCCAGTTTACATGCACACCAGTAACCTGACAACGCAAGTAGCCTAAGCTGCGTTTACATGACTTCATTAATAAATCAGGTTATTTCCCTGTAGTGACGTCAAAATATAATCATTTGCGTATCTGACTCCGAGTATTCCATACATTTGTCAGTTGTGATGTTAAATTAAGCTTGCAACATGTCGGGAAACTTACAGCTCATATAGCCTAGCCTATTATCCTCTCATGCAGTTATAAACGCAGCATTGTGACTGAACCACTTCTGCTTCTGCTGCACGAGATGAGAACACATTTTTATCATTTTCTGAGTCATGAAAAAGTCTGCTTTTGTGATATATTTCCTTCTTTCTTTATTGCAAGACGTTTG